ATGAGCGAACATGATCAGCAGTCACTCAGCCAAAGATTTGTTCTCATCTTCTTCAGTTCCTTACTATTAGACTACACTGTTTCCAATCCTTACATTCTCAGCTCCATTTGTATCATAAATAGTTTTTGATTCCTTCATTGGGGTATTGGCTACCTGTGGCTTCCATTTCTGGCTTTTTTTTTATTTTCGTATTTTTTTGTTTGATTTTTTTTTTTTTTTGGTTTTTTTTTTTGGTTGTTTGTTTTTTTTTTTTTTTTTTTTTTTTTTTTTTTTTTTTTTTGTTTTTTTTTTTTTTTTTTTTTTTTTTTTTTTTTTTTTTGTTTATTTTTCCATCCTACTTTCCCCTTTCTCTGATTCTTCTGCCCAAAACTCTGACAAATGGAAATGTAGGTTTATTCCTCTCTTTAAATATTTTCTTTCTCTGTCCTACGAGATTTTTCTCCTCCTGGCACAGATCCATTTTTGTTTGTTTTGCTTCTTAACTCTTCTTTTACTGACACCCACAGTCTGTATTGGCATCTGTGTCATGCCTGCTCTTGCCTTTTACTTTCCTCCTTGACCTGCTGGCCAGTTCTCCTACTTTTTTGTCTAAGCTTGTTTTATTCTTGTTATGCAGTTATTTTTCAACCTATTCAATCCAGTTTATTGCTTCTCTGCACAGTCTCTAATGACCTTCTTTTGAAGAAAGCTCTAAACCAGGACTCCATCCTCATTACTGACTCACTGTTTATCTAAATGTCACTGCTAATCTGCATGTAGCTCTTCTATTTTATAGTTTACTTATAAATTCTTTAAGATAGGACACTTTTTTATTTCTCTGTTTGTACTGTATTTAGCTCAATTAGAGGTTTGTTTTGTGAGTAGCATTGTGAACTATTATGAAATTCCAAATAACTGATATATTTTTGATTAAAGCTTCCTTCCTTACTGCCTTCTCCCTGGGTATTTGACCAGATCAAATTATGTAGGTTATAGGTGGGATTGATAATAAGTAGCATTTTAAAATGGCACAGCTAGTTATCTGCAAATGTTGGCTCACAAATTTGCATTGTGCTACAAATTTAGAGCAGAGTTTTGCTAATCTTTCTCATGTGAACTGACCTACTTAAGTCAGTGGAGTGCTAATATTTGCCACAAAGTAAGGATTTGGCTCATAATCCTAGGGAAGGCATTTGCATGCACACTGGGAATATTGTCTAGGGTTTTTGTTAAAGGCTTCCTCATCATTCCATTCCTCCTTATGAGATTGTTTTTAACTTAAAAATAAGAAGAACAAAGTAAGTGTGATTTGACCCAGATGTGATGCCTAAGGAAGTTGTCAATGAACCTCTCTAATGGTGAATGGAGAACATTATCTCTGCATGGAGGTTACAATTTTGGCTTCACAAAAAAATGTCCACTTTGCTCCTAGGAAAAATGAAAACACCTCTAACAGCTTAAATTACACCTAAAAAAATTCCAGTGTAGGCTCTGAATTACAGACCATAGAAATTGTAACGTTTGAACTGATTGAGGACAAATAAAGGACAGCTATTAGTGAGTTTACATGGAAGAGCAGGAACAACAAGAAGGCCAGAATTTTCTCAACCACCTTGGTCACATAAATATAGAGGTATTTACAAAGAAAATTGTTCCAGCAGTTTTTTTTACAGACTGTCAGTGTGACTTTTTTGAGACTGTACTCATCATTTGCATAATGTATTATCTGTTTATTTTCAGTAAGTTTTCTGTATAATTCTTTTTCTCAGAAGGGAGAGAATACGTGTTCATTTTCTGTGTATTTGAAGACAGAAGTTGTTCCTATGCATTTTTACCCAAATGTGCTGCTTGATTTTTTGGATCAAATGCCCTGCAGGGTGACATTTCTTTCAGTTTTAGGAGTCACTACAGTAATAGGAGGAAGCTTCTCAGTGTTACCTTCACAAGGGAATCCACGCTCTGTAATACATCAGGGACAAAAGGAAGGCTAAGGAGAACCTCCATTCCATATTGGATGCAGGGGGAAACAATAGTGACAAAGAATGAGGAAGCAGATGAAGTACTTAGTGCCTTCTTTGCCTCAGTCTTTAACAGTAAGGCCAGTTGTTCTTGGGTGCCCAGTCCTTTGAGCTGAAAGACAAGGATGGGAAGCAGAATGAAGGCCCATAATCAAAGGGGAAATGATCAGTGACCTGCTGCACCACTGAGACACACACAAATCTGTGGGGCTGGATGGGATCCAACTGAGGGAGCGGGTGAAAGTGCTCACGGAGGCACCTTCCATCATTTACCAGCAACCCTAGGTAACAGGGAGCAGTGGGTCTTAATTGACCTGGAGGTCAGTAAGTGTGGAGCCCATCGATCAAATGGGTTGGAAGGAGGGTCCAGAGAACTAGAGGCCTGTCAGCCTGACCTCAGTGCCAAGGAAGGTCATGGAGCAGATTGTCCTGAGCAACATCAAGCAGCACGTACAAGACAATCGCGATCACACCCAGCCAGCCCAGGTTCATGAAAGGCAGGTCCTGCCTGACCCAGTTCATCTCATTCTGTGTGAAGTGACCTTCCTAGTGGGTGAGGGGAAGGCTGTGGATGTTGCTGCATGAACTTTAGTAAAGCTTTTGACACAGTTTGCCACAACATTCTCCTGGAGAAACTTGCAGCTCCTTGCTTGGATGGGCGTGTTCTTTGCTGGATAAAAACTGGCTGGATGGCTGAGCCCAGGGAGTGGTGGTAAATAGAGTTATAGCTAGGTGGCAGCTGGTCTCCACTGGAGGTTTTGATTTGTTGGAGGGCAGGAAGGCTTTCCAAAGGGATCTGGACAGACTTTTGTAAGGCCAGGCAGTTTGCAGAGATGTTGAAGGGAGGTGCCTTCTTGACCCAGACTGGTGTAACTGTGGTGTTAAGTAGTTGAGAGTAAATTGGCTGTTTGTTGTACTCTTTGCCAAAGACTTTGGCAAAGTTGGGATTTTGTGTGCAGTGTGTTATGCTCATAGACCCTTTTGTCTTCGGAAAAACAAATCCAAGGTGAGAACATAATGTGTCAGGAAAGGGTAAAATAAACCAGCTCAATCACATAGATTAGAACCATGTTGTCCAAACTAAATATCAGCGTTTGCAAGGCTTCCTTCCACTTTTCTGAAGAGGATAGGGCAGATACTGGAGAGCTGTGGGTACCACTGCAGTACTGACTGATGCTTTTAATGCAGAAATAACATTTCTAGTATTGTAAAATGTGTTCTGTACAGGTGCAGGTACAGAATAACTTCTCTTGCTTTCCCACCTGCTCAAATGTGAAGGTTTTACGATATTTACTTGTTAGGCTGGAGATAGTTGTTTTATTTTGCTTTATTACTGAGAAAAAGAAGAAGGTAATTCTGTTGCTATTTTTCTTTCCCTACCAGCCTTGCTTAATCCTGAAATGAGATGTTTCTCCCTGAGCAGGTTTTCATATAGTCCTGTATTTTTTTTAAAGTCACGTGCCAGTTTGTAGGACTAGCAGGGTACTTGATTTTTCCTTCAAGAACTGTATGTCCTAGTTCATTAGAAAGAAAGAAAAACAAATACCAAAAAAAATTACAAAAATTGATACAGTGTTACACAAAATACTGTAGTAATGCTGACAGCCGAATTGTCCTTCCCATATTCAATTCCAGGGTCTAAAGCACAAGATTCTCTCTCCTCTATTGGTTTTGTGGTTGTGGACTCCCTTATCATGCTGTAGTGGTGGTTTTGGTATACAGCCATTTGTTTTGTGTTCAAATATTTAAACTTCAGTGGTGCTTACCTTTTCTGAATACATATTTTCTGCAGCAAGCAGTTTGTGCTTTCTTGAATAGATATCAAAAGCTAAAGGAAACTGCTTGTTTGTTCAGTTGAAAGAATTTTGCTGTAATATAAACCATTAAGCATTTGGAATAAAGAAAAAGCTTTCTTTTATAATGCAAGTGAGTAATTTTCCTCTTCTACTTATTTTCATATTTCTGCGTATATGTGTTTTATCACTGCTTTTCCAAGATGATGGGATAATGAACTGAAAGAGTAGCAGGTTTAAGAAAACCAATGATCTGCAAACATTCTCTTTGTCCAGCTTTTCTTTCCTGTACAGAGAAGCCAGAGAGGTTGCTGTAAAATACTTTGTAATTTTACATTTATCTACAAAATTGGGGGTAAAAAAGATGAATAACAGTTATTTTATCTTATCTTACGTTCTCTAAAAGGTTGCCTTGCCTCTGACGAATCCTTTTGCACAGGCAGATATTTGGCAATTTCAGTAATATTTATAGAGGCTGACATTGAACGACTGTTGCTTCTGCTGCAGATGACAGTACGACTAGCACAAAATCGTGGCCGCATGTTCGTGTGCAATACGTGTCCATGCAAACGCGTTTAATCAGCTTGAAGTTTCTTCTCCCTCACCCCCTCCCTCAGCTCTTCTCCTTGCCCATCTCCCCGGCAGAGGAGCTGAAATAATTACCTGCAGTGTCATTTTTCACTTTGCTCCATGCAGATGCGGTGCGGTTGGGCCGCGGGCGGGGAGGGGCCAGCGCTGATGCGGCACGGGCGTGTGACAGCGGCGTGGCCCGACCCGCTCTGCTCCGCTCCGGGCGGCTCCCGCTGCAGCCCGGCCGCGCCGCCGCCGGGACCCGCCGCTGCGGGGCCGCCTGTGTTCGGAGTACCTGCGACACAGCTGGGCTATTCTTTAACTGCGGGAGAAGTGCCTCTCTTCCCTCCACGCAAGCTCCCTGCTGGCTTTCTGCGTCCGTAATTTATCGGAGCCGTTTTTCCCTCCGGCGTTCTCCCGCTACTTCTTTTCCCCTTTCCCCCCTTTTTTTCTTCCTCTATTTTATTTTTTTCTCTTTTTCCCGCTCGTTATTCGCCCCCCTCCCAATCTGTGCTGCCTCAATAGCCCTCATTATGCTGTGCTCAGTGGCCCGGTGTGTTCCCCGCCTCTGCTAGGCAGTGGCAGCATGGATGGTGCTCTTGTGACGACCTCTGCTGATGCTATCAGTCCACTGCGGATAGGCATGCTGAGTAATCCTGCTGTAAATGGGCGAGGACACGGACACACGGAAAATTAACCACAGCTTTCTGCGAGACCACAACTATGTGACTGAAGGTAACATAAATACTGCAATTTTTCTCTTCTTGCATTGCGTATTCTATGCTGGGAATGCACTGTCACGTTTGGAGATGTAGGCTGTTCCTTTTTTTTCCTTTTTTAAACAGGGGGGATTTCAGGGCGTTTTTTCTGTGGGATGTAGCAACAGAATCTGTCTGAATTCGCTGAATCCCAAAGACATTCTGTCATGCTACAGCAGTATATGAAAGTACACGGGCTGGAGAAGGTCTTGCATTGTGCTGAGTTTCTGCTAGTGAGGTGTGCAGCACCTGGCATTGAATGCTCAGTAGCTGCTGTATAGAAGATTGGAAGCACTTGATTACTGAAAAAAAAACAAACCAAAAAAGGTTTGAGAACACCAAAGTAAGAGAAATAATCTGTAAAGTTAACTGTTTGCTGGTGTAATGAAGGTTAGGCGTCTCATTTTGGTAATTATATCCTGAGCATTACAGACATTGCTCAGTTGATTGTTCCCTAGAGAACTGTATACACTTAGAAGGCATTTAGAAAGGATATGTAAGCATCATCTTTTGAAATGCTGCTTCTTTCTTTCTGTTCCCTGTGCAAGGTACATGAGAAAAGAAAAGGCACCTTCATTTTAAATCATTCAGTGACTTGTAGGTTATTACATAAAAAGGAATTTTCCTGCAGGTGACATACATGAAATGCTGAGGGAATTTACCTTGAGAACGTGAAATGGTTGGGTCAGGTACTGGTCTGTATTTCCTTGTCAGAAAGTTGGTTTAAGAGTAGGCCATTTTAAGATTGATTGAACAGGAGAAATGTGTTTGTAGATGCTTGACTTTGCAAATATATCTGTATGTGCAGTTTTAACAGCACTTTTCAGCAGCAGAAACAGTAACTCAATGTAGGCTTATATAATATGAACATACTTAACATCAGGGTCAACCAATACTCCTTGAGACACAGTCTCCAGATTCTGTCATCATTTGATCAATGCTCAGTCACTTAATACTCCCATGCTGCATCCTGAAACGTAATCAGCTGATGCTCTCTTGATTATTGATGATTTGAATTGTTTTAGATTGGAGAAAACAGTAGGATGAATTTTGTCATACCAGGACCACAAGGCAGATTTTTCAGAAGAAAAATTAAAAATGCTGTGTACTGTAACTGTTACCAGTGACTGGTGTAATTGCTTGCTAATCTTGCCTCTAGGACATTCTTTGCACTCTGGTTCATGTTTTGGTGCATTTTCAAATTTGTTTTGAAGTCTTGGTTAATTTTTTTTTTTGTTTGTTTTTTTTTGTTTTCAGAGTGATGAATGTTTATGTTTTGAGATGTGGTCACCTGTTTGAAGGAACTTTGTTGAAATTTGTAAATTCATGCCTTGGATTCTGCAGAATGCACAGTATAATTACTGCAGTGTACTTGATACATGGTGAATTTCAGATGTGCAGCAATGCTAAAAATTGAATTTTTAAGTCTCTGTGTTTTGTGGTCTGAGGAAAATAATTAATGGTGGATTTTTCAAATCCATATTCTCCTTTTATATGTCATGAGTGTTCTAAAAATAGATGGAAATTTTTAGTAGTTTTTGTGACACTGCTGGGGCAAGTGTTAGATTTTTCTAATGTTCTATCTTCACTTGATACTTGGATCATAAGGACTGGATGTTCTTCTCTCATTGCACATGGAGGGGCTTGTCTGAAATGGGTAAAAATATGATTTGAATATGAATGCTGACCTGTTTTATATTTTTCCTGTGATCAGAAGTCATCATGAAATATGTTGGCATCTATTCTTGAAATCTTCAGTAGCAAAATATTAGTTTTTCATCTTGGACTAGTGTAATTCTTGTTGAGAATGCAGAGTTTGTCAGGTGTAATAGAATTCTTCACAGCTGTTATATCTGACATGACATTGCCACACCTTTCAAAAGATCTTGCAAATCATGAGGGAATGGATTTTTCTGTGAAATTTTTCCAAGGAGACCTTCAGCTCAAAGAGGAGCATCATGAATGTTAATTTCTCATTGATACACTTTGTTTAAAATGCATAATGAATACATTAGTTAAAGTGGTGCTTTAAATGTGCTTTGTTCTTCTGTGGAATTTTGTACTTTTTTGTTTAAAGATTTGGCTCCATGAAGGAACTTTAAGACTTCTCAAGTGTGAAGGCCTGCAGTCCTTTCACAGGCCTTGTATTTGGTCCTGTGACATGTTAAGTGCAGTATGTAGCAACAACAGTAAGGCAGTAATGTGTTACCTTGTTGTACTTCTTTGGGGTCCAGTTCAAGTTTTTCTTTGGCTTTTGTAATCCACCATTTAAAATGAAGAAATGCTTTATGTGGTGTCCAGTGTATTAGAGAAGTTACCAATTCATTGTTGTTTGTGAATAACCAAAATTTTATCTCATTTTCAGAATTTTGAAGTCTTGGTAAGTGGTGTCCTCTGTCCTTGCTATTCCATGCAGCAGACTAAATTCATTTACAAAAGGAAATATTTCTAAGAACCCTTATATGTACTTTCTTCCTCTAAGTATTCATGAGGAAAGTAAAGCCAGCAGTAATCATGAAGATGTGGGTTAACTATAGCATTGCTTTACTTCTCTACCTGGTTTACTTTTTCAGTGATTTGAAAAAGCCCAAAGAGTCAAATGACATATGAATTCAGGGTATAGGAAAGCTGTGAGCCAAATCTCATTTGCTCTGCTCTCGCTAGTGGTCTGAAGGTGTTCCTAACAAAACTGCTTGCTTAGGCAAAGTCCAATTTCATCTCTTTGATAGGTCATTAATTTTGAACTTTGGGATTATCTATAATAAACGTGGCTTTACCGTGACTATGGAAAATTGAATTGGTTTTTAAATCTAACAATTTTTTCATTTGTTGTTACACTGTAACTGTTATACTATAATAGGCATTACAGACACACATATGACAACAGTGACTACCTGGCCCTGTTTCTCCTGTTCCATATGCACAACTACAGTGTGGCATTACAACAAACAGAACGTGAATAATTTTGTCATTTAAAGTCTTTAAAGTTTTGTTACGGTTGCACAAGGGAAAAAAGTGATTTAATTCCAGCTGCAATATACAGCAAATTTTTCAATGATCACTTTCAAAAGTAGCTTTTAAACAGTAGCTTTTAAAAGTAGCTTTTTAATTGGAGTTGTTTGTATGAGGAAAATAGAAAAGATCAGGTAAGACTTTTAAAGAAAGTGAGAAAAAATATCTGAGGCTTAGAAAATGTGAGCTGTGAGGAAAGATTGAACTTCTTTGCAAAGGTGATGAAACACTGGGATATATTGCCTAGGGAGCTTGTGTAATTTTTATCACTGAAGTTTTTAAAAGCAGGTGACATAGATGTCTGTAAGAAATGACATGGGGATAGCTGAGCCTCCCGTGGGGCAGAGGAATGGACTAGATGACCTCTGAGATCTGTTCAGGCTTGTGATTCATTGCAGAGCTGTGTTTTATCTTAATTGCCTTTTGCACCACAGCTGTGGGAACCAGTTGTCCAGGAGGTGTTGGGTCAGTAAAATGTGTTATTTCCACAGCAACTGCAGGAGCACTGAGGAGAGAGGAGAGGCACTGGAAGAGAAGATGGGTTGGATGGGAGAAACATGATCCTTCATTACTGTACAGACAGAGTCTGTTGGGGAGAGGGCAAGAAAATTGTGAGCTGGGGGAAGGAGGACAAAAGAGGCTTCTGTGCTTTAGCGGGCAGAGGATGTCCTTCAGTCCTAGAGTTCCCTTGATGTTACCTGTGCTTAAGATTAATGGTAGAACTGACAGGACTGCTCAGTACCTTGGGCTCGGCCACACAGGAGCTGATTCTGAGCAGTGAATTGCCTGCTGTGGTTGCTGTATTCCTGGTAGGGCAAAAAGTTGCTGGAATCAATGGTGCCACTCTCTTGCTCAACTGCCACCTGAATTCCATTACTCTGTATTGTTCTGATTTAACAATTAACAGAAGTAATGAACAAAATTCACTATTCCTGCCAAACTGTGTTGAAGGATGTGTTTCACCTCCGTGATTCCGAATTTATTTGGAGAAATTCTTCTCTGGTAGGTGAAGCATATTGCAGGTTGCATGCAGACAAGTCTAGCATATGAATTGATCCCTGCCTTTTTATGGAGTATCTCTGTTTTGGGAAGGAATAAAAAGATGTTTATACTTCCAGTTTTTCTGGAGAGACACAGGTTCCTCCCTGGTCTAGGCCTGCAAGTGCAGGTGGAGCCAGTGGAGTTGCACTGGTACAGTGGGGCAGAAGGTGACCTGCACTATCTAGACTTTTATATGGCCAAATTGTGCCATTTAGTTCCATATAGCTTCTGTGAAAAAGTTAATCACATTAATGTCCTCAAATATGATATTTGAAGAATTATGAGAGTTAACAGTGCAGTATAAAACATATCGAATCATAACCATGTGAAATGTTTATTATAGAGGAGAAAGGAACCCTTTTTTTCCTTAATAATTGTAAACTCCTCTGCAGATAATGAAAACAGATTTTGGGGCTTTTTTTTTTTTTTTTTGCCTTAACAAAAGAAGTTAGTATTTATCTCCTTCAGTAATCAAAATTAGAGGAAATTATCAATTTTCATCTGCCAAAAAGAAATTTATTTATGATCTTTTCTTTCATAAACATCTCAAATATAATTTGAATTAGACCTTAATACCTGAGGTGTTAATTGGATGAATATAGCAAACAAGTAACACTGCTGGCTCAGGCTCACCATTGGTCAGTCCACTGATTTCTCCTTATTAAGAAAAGTACAAGAGGTAGCTCTTCCTCTCAACCTCCAGCAATTCAGGATTTATGTTGTGAATATTGATGATTTTAATCTTTTTACAGAGCTAATTTAGAAACAGTTTCAGAATTACCCTGGAAATTATTGCTCATTCTTAGTGCAGTCTAAGTTACTTATTTTTTTCCTTGAGTTGAGGGTGAACAGGGGTAAACCTTGTTAAAGCATGACTTTGCCCCCTGTTAAACAGGATATAGTTGTGTCTTTCTCTGCATGGAT